GGTGTGATCTTCAAGAAGATGATTCACAAACTTTTGTGAGGTATGTATTTGGATTGAATGTCCAAATAGCTAACACCGTGGAACTGCAAGACTACCAAACCCTTGACGATCTTACAAAGTTGGCTCTCAAAGTTGAAAGCCAAATCAAGAAAGGCAAGGCTGCCCAAATGAGAACCTCTTCTTCATACCCACCTTTACTTCCCACTCCTTCATCCCCTCCACATCCCACGTCCTCTCACCATAAACCCATACTTCTAAACCCTCCCTCAAATATCCAAAATCAACCTCGACACAATCAAAATATCAACCGAACTCCGAAATGTTATCGTTGCCAAGGCAATGGTCACATAGCTCAAGATTGTCCCAATAAGAAGGTCATGACTCTGGTGGAGTGCAATGATGATACTTTTGACCCTTCATGGGATAAAGAAGAAAAAGAGTATGTCGGACCTGATGATGGAGAGCTTTTGGTCATTCGTAGAACTTTAAGTGCGATGACCGGTCCAAAAGAAGAAATACAACGAGAGAATATCTTCCATACTCGTTGTACAATCAAAGGAAAGGTGTGTTCTCTCATCATTGATAGTGGGAGTTGTACGAATGTTGCCTCTAAGACTATGGTGGATAAACTCCAGCTGAAAATCTCACCACACCCGACACCATACACGATTCAATGGCTGAATCATGGTAAAGGGTTACGTGTTGACACTCAATGCTTGGTGTCACTAAGTCTTGGACAAACCTACAAGGATGAAATATGGTGTGATGTGATCCCGATGAATGCTTGTCATGTGCTGCTCGGACGGCCTTGGTTGTTCGATCGCAGGGTTCTTTACGATGGATACGCTAACACATATTCATTCCTCAAAGACAATAAGAGAATCACCCTTACTTCTCTTTATCCTGAAGAAAAATCTCTCGTTCATCTGTCAACATTGATACGAGCTGGTAAATCTGAATACATAGAAGAAACTCGTCGTGAAACGATAACGACTCAAGTCAACCAGCATGTTTGTGGGAACGAGAATGTAAACACAAGAAGCCTCAATGATCAATCCAAGCCAATTTATACTCCGAGTTTGAGGTCAAACTCTTTTGAAGACGGGGAGGATGTTGTACCCCACCATGCATCACCAAAGGGTAAGCAAAATCAGGAGTTATTGCTAAATTGTTATAATCCTTATTGGGTTGAATTCATTTCTTCTTTCCATCAAAAAGCCCAAACCATAACCCTTGCTGCCCAAAACCCTCCCTAAGCCAAGCCATAACCCACAAACCTTCTCCCACAAACATCCAAAACCATTTTATCTGTCCAAATAAAGTCTTTGTTATTCATTACTAAGCCCAGGCCGAAGGTGAACAACAAAAGGCAGAATAAAACCTTTGTTTATTTTTTTTTGACATAATAATCGATTATCCAACATAGATAATCGACTATTGCTTCCCTCTGAATCCTCCTAACGTATTCCTGCAATGCTCCATAATCAATTATCTCCCAATAGAAAATCGATTATCACTCATCTCAGAAGATATCCAGTTTTGGAAACCAGTCCTTGATAATCGATTAATCTTTTTGTGTCAATCGACTACTGGATACCTCAGAAAATTCTTGGTTTAGCAGACACACCTTGTTAATCGATTATCAGTAATAGATAATCGATTATCACCTGTCTCAGAACCTAGAAACCAAAGTGGTCTCTGATTTAACAGTAAAGGTTTTGTCATTTAGGAACACACTTGACTAAATATCATTCCCACTATATATGGACGAAATTCCCATGTTGTTATTCAACAAAATCAAATACTTTTATAAGCTTAATCCCTCATCCATGTGCCTGCCCAAAAAGTCTTTGATTGAATAGTAATATTCTGTCTTATATTTCACTAGAAGTCAAGCCATGTTGTTTCCTTTATTCCTTCACCCTAAGGACGAAAATCATACATAAAACCACTCAAAATACATGCCAAAATCCCTGATCATTAGCCAAGAATTCAACTCATTTGGATATTAACACATGCACAGCATTTGTTTTATTTTGTAGGAAAGAAGTGGGAAGTTTCCTTTGTTGTATTTTATTTATCATGTAATCATGTTTGTTGTATTGTTTTATCCATTCCATGGCCTATATATTTCAGCCCTGGTTCATTGTATAATCAGCTTGTAAAATATATTGTGATAATATAAGTTTCTTGCTCAGTTCTCTCTCTAAGTACTCTATATTAAATCCTAATTCTATATCTTAAGAGTGGTTCTCTTAAGTGGGAGTTTTAGGTTCTAGATATATTAAATAAGTTGAGTGATTCCTTATTTAAATACTAGAGTTTAACCCGAGTGAAGATAAGTGTGTGTGATTCCTCTTATTATTCATTTGATAAATGCTTCTTTCCCTCTCCCTTGTTTTCTCCTGAATTCAGCCTCCCCTATATTTCTACACCTTCTCTTCTTCTTTCTCTTCTTAAATTGATATCCTAGACCACCCCGGGTCTCAGGTACAACAACTTCGACAGCAGAAGCGGAGTACATTGCTGCTGGTAGTTGTTGTGCTCAGATTTTGTGGCTAAAGCAACAACTACTGGACTATGGAGTCAAGACAAGAGAAGTGACAATTTTCTGTGACAATCAAAGTGCTATAGCTATCTCACAAAATCCAGTGCATCATTCTCGCACTAAGCACATTGATGTCAAGCATCACTTCATCAGAGATCATGTGGAAAGGAAAGACATCAAAATTGAGTATATCTCAATTGAAGAACAACTGGCGGATATCTTCACAAAACCACTAAGTGAAGCCAAATTTTCCGATTTGCTTCACAAAATTGGTCTAATTCAATTAGACTGAGTGCGGTACACATGGCAGTCCACTTTCCACGTCTGTCGAAATATTGGGTAGGCACATGGTCTTGGGAACAGTTAAAAACCCAATCGCCACTAGCCGCATAAATCACCCAAATCAAACCCAATCGCCACTATAATCAGATCCCAACTACCCACTCAGCCAACTCAAATTTTTCATCGCCTTCTTCGCGAGAACCTTCTGACAAAATTCTCAAGAACCCTAATTTCTTCAGATCTTCTCAATCAAATCTCTGAGAAAATGAAGACTGTTGACGCTAATGTCCATTTCCAGAAGTTGGAAGCCAAGTGCTCTTCACCAACGTTCTATCAATCCTATCTGGAGATGATTGCTGCTCAAGAACTCTCCAAATTCCTTCATATGGAGATTCACTCCAAATATGAAGTTGAAGTTCTGGAATTCTACAAGAATGGAAAGGTCAAGACTGTTAAATCGAAGAAGGACCCACAGAGAACGGTTCAAATCATCAGGTCCACTGTTGGAGGAACTAAAGTGAAGCTCTCTCAGAAGAAATTGGGAGAAAAGCTTCACCTTCCCAATTCTGGAGTTGAAATTGGGAGACTTCCAGCCAAGAATCTGGATTGGAATATTATTGGAATTTCTGGGCAAGCTCCTTCTGGCCCAGCGAAGAAAGCAGACCTGAACAACGACTACAAACTTGTTCTTGAACTGGTCATCGCCTGCCTCGAGTGTGGAAGTGGAGGACATGCTGATGACATCACCCAAGAGAGGGCCTTCATCATCAATGCCCTCATTACCAAGTCTAAGGTAAATTGGGCTGCACATTTCTTCAATTCCATCTCAAAGCATCTAGGAAAACCCAACCAGAAATACCTTTGTCAAGGTCTGTACATTGGACATATTTTGGAGTCTATGGGTGCTGCTTCTGAAGGAAAGAAGTATGAGGCTAGATATTGGCTATATTACCTGTCTTCAAAAGGGGAAAACAGAGCTGGTGCTAGCACAACTGCAGAGGATGAAGCTTCTTCAAACAATGTGCCAATCATAAATCTGAAGAAAACAGCCAAGAGGAAACATGTGGTGTCTCCCTCTCCAAGTGTTGAAGCACCATAGAACCTTGCTCTGGTCAATCTGGAAGAAGAAGAAGAAATTACTGCACAAGGAGAACTTCAAAGGAAGAAGAAGAGGAAAATCACCTCTCCCTCAACTTCTGGAAATGTCAATCCGGATGAGTTGAAGGAGAAGGAACCGGTTGAGGATAACCCTGCCCACAACCAGAGCCCTCAACAACAGGAAGAAGAAGTTCATCAAGTCCATAGTCTTCCAACCCCCTCACCTCAATCTCAAACAGATGATGCTGATAACCAATTCTGGCAGCTCTACTATGACTGGAGAGCTTGGAAGATTGGAAATTCAGCAGAGCAGTTGATTGGATGGGACCAACAATTGAAGAATGAAAAAATCATCAAGAAGTGCTTGGGACTACCAGTCAACCACAGTTGTGAACAAATCTTGGATGATGACTGGGTATGGCAAAGGAACTATGAAGACTTACATCTGGAACACTTGGCCACCTCACCAGTTTCAGAGTTTGAAGAGGATGAGGAAGATCCTTCAGTCTACAAGCCAGTCTTCTCAAAAGCCACAGAAGATCAAATGATTCACACGTCTGACGCACAGGCTGACTTGGAAGCAATTGCTGAGGATTTCCAAATATTTCCGGAAACCTCACCTGCCTTTGAAACGGTTCTGTCTGAAGCTGTCCAAGAGAATGCAGCCCCTACTCAACAGAACCAGGAAGCATCAGAAGAAGAACTTCAGCAACATCTCCAATCTCAAGTCCTTGAGATTCTAACAACTCCTTGTGAGATCTCCAACCAGCCTGAACTTGAGATCTCGGAAAAGTCAGGAGAAATTCTGGAGCAGTCAACTCCTTCAGAAACAAATGAAGTCCAAGAGGAGCAAGCTGTAGAAGTCCAAAGGAGTTCTGCAGAAGCTGAAGGAGAAGCTCAAATAGCCGCATTGGAGGCCCCTGAAACTCCAGTAGCTGTTTTTGAAGAGCAGAATGAAGATGAAGAAAGAGACTCCCTCTCTAGGGAAATCTCAAACTTTGTGCTTGATGAAGCAGAGGAAGAATCTGAAAGGACGCTGAGAATCAATAATGAAGAAGATGTGCAAGAAGATGCTGAATCTCTTCCTATGTAACTTTTCCAAAGAACACCATCTTCTCATCAGGTAACCAACTTCCATTTCCATTACTCTTCCATTCCTATACTTCCGGATGAGGTACCGGAAATCTGGACAAAGAAGGTCCAAGGGTTGATTGAATCAGCCCTAGCATCGCAGCATGCCTCCTTTAGACGAGAGATAGAGCAAATGGAAGCCAGGTACAACAAGCTGATGGAGAAATCCGAAGAGACACACTGCTCCAATCTCAAGGAGATAAGCAAATCAGTGAACAAGACTCTAGAGATCATTTCTCTATTGAGTAACTCTATGAGCGACACAATGGAGACATATGCATCTGACAGTTATCTTCAACTCAAGGAAGTTTACAAAATCAGAGAGCAAATAGCAAACGTCACAATCAGTCTACAGAAGCAAATGTCCCTTCTCCAAATGGACATCAGAGCAGCCCTAGCAGTGTCTTCAGCAAATCAGGTAGTAACCAAAGACTACTTGAAGGTTATTATTGACAATCAGAAGGAAGCACACAGACTGTTCAGACACCTTAGCACAAGCTCTGGCAACCGCAAGATGGAAGTGATTCTTCAACAACACAGTCCATCCTTGATTCCAGAGCTCCCTATTGCAGTCAAGGAAGGAGAAGTTTCTTATATTCCTTCGCATCTAAACATGACTGACCTGATCCTTGAAGCTCAGAGAAACAATCCGGAGAACTCGGCACAGCATCTGTCTAGCTCAGGTCTAGATGGAACAGAAGCTGTTGGAACCATTGTCTCACATTTCTCAAATGAGGATCACACAGAGGAGAGACGCAACAACATAAGGCGCATCAAACAACTGTGTGGAAACATGCAAGGCATTGGTGAGCTTGTCGGATCTTCAAAGCGCAAGAAGCACTGAAGGCTTTTTTCATCAAACCAGGGGGAAAGTATGTGAAAATACTATTTTGTTTTGATGAAAACACCTTCTTGTTTAAACATTGCTTGATTGGTTTAAACATTGCTTCAATATTTCTCTTAATTATGCTTATTATGCTTGATCATATTCATTTTAAGTATCATTTTGAGATTATCTTTAAGCGCATACATTCAGGGGGAATGTAATTCAGGGGGAACTTAACTGTTTTTTGGCTAACAATTGCTTCAATTGTTTTTGGCAATGAACTATTGATAAAATCTAAGCAATGGAAACCAGATACCTCAGTATAAGTACTATAGTTGGAGATCTCCGATTCAGGTACTTTACATAATCTACCTTCCTAAACTGAGCTTTAATCTTTAGTTCATTTCCAACTAGCTCTAAAAGTACTGGTCCTTAGGATTTTTTTTATGTACAGGACTTTGGAAAAATAGTACCACTTTTCTTTTAAATAAGTTACAAATTTTTGGTACTACCTCGTCCTATTTAGAAATTAGAACTATAGGGAATGAAAAATGATAGTTTTATTTTGGGCCTTGAGAACCCAATAGGAATAATTTCCCTTTAGTGCATAGATTTTTTTTGGGCCACTCTTTTGGGCTTAGCCAAACTATAACAGTTACATTTTTCAAACCAAACGAAACTGATTTTTAATTGGAACAGTTTCAAAACCTTGGTAACTGGTAAAAGATTCCTTCCACTTTTCAACTTCTTGGAAGTTGAAACTCTTTTACTCTCACCGTTCCATCTACCCAATTAGTGGAACCCGTGAACCTCCCCTCTCTCTACCTCCACTCTTATTTAAATCAAGACATCTCAATCCATTCCTATCACAAACAACTCTTTCAATATGAAAAGTCTTCAAACTCACTGTCTGAGAAAAACACCAAGAAAAATATCCTCAATGGAGAAATTTTTCTTTCTCACCCTCATAGACAGCAATGGAGAAAGCCTAATGAGAAGAAAAGACTTTCCAGGTCTATGGTGAGAATCTCGGCAGTAGAGAAGGTCTGTGGTGAAAATCTCGTATTTTTCAGGATTACACCATACACTTTCTCTGGAACAACACTCTCTCCATTTTTCGTCTCATCTATTTTTTTTTATTTTATTCTCTCTCTTTTTCTCTTTTTTGTTCTTCAAATTTTAATTTTTGAGCAGTCGCCGCACTTTTCCTACAAGCATTTTTTTTAAAATTTTTGTGCAGTCTCTGCTCCCTTCTCCCAAGCATTTTTCAAAATTTTTTACCATATTTATCCTTTAAATCCTTTTTCAAAATTTTATTTTTGCCTTCATCTTTAAAAACCCTTTTTTTATCTTTTTCACAATCAATTCTATTTTTTCCAAAACCTTCTTCTTGTCTTTCTATCTTTTTCTTTTTCCTCCACCGCCGCCTCCTTTCCCTCCACTTTCTTTTTGTTCTTGTTTTTGCTTTTTGGAGAGATGTTGCTTCCTAGATCTAAAATATCCACTTTGGATATTAAAGATCTATCAAACGCACCGCCATCTGTACTACCAAGCAAAATCTGCTGGAAGTGAAAGCGGCAAATGGCAGAAAATATCACAAATCTCAAGACAAGACTTGGTTTAGGAATTATTGTAATTTGAATTGTATTTGTTTAAGAGTTTTTGTTAACAAGCTGTATATTATGAGAGACTAAAAGAAAGTTATAAAATTAGTTCTCAGTAATAGGGACTTTAGGTCTCCCCCAATATTCAATGTAATTTTTCTTTTTAGAAATATTGTTAAAACCGAGTTCTTGAGATTTCCAATAAAGTTGTGATATTTCTTTAAGTGGTTTGATACTTGAAGACTCAATCAAATTCAGTGATATGGAAATTGGATATCTTGATCGGAAAAGTCAGAGACAAGTAAGGATTTCTCAAAGCAGATGAATATCCTCCAATCCGGAAGACTACATGATACCCGGATGTCTCGCTACAACCCGCTGAATGCTAAGTCATCCAAATCGGAAGACTAGCGCGGATCTCTTTCTCACCCGGAAGTCTGTGAATGACTCTTCCGGATTTGTCAGCAAAGGAACCGGATGCCTCAGAAAGACTAGAACTCTCAGGAGCGGACAAGTGAGAAAAGACTTAGAAAATTATCTAAGTCTTGAATGAAGAAATTCTACCCGTTGGTAAGGAAAAATCAATCTCTTGATTTTCAACGGCTAGATTGAAGATAATTATGCTGATTCAAGAACAAATGACTTGAAGACAAAGTCTGGACCTCTCAAATTGAAGAGCCTATCCAGAATTCCTAAACAAGCACTAAAAGACAAACAGAGTAAAGTGCTACAGTCCAGAATTCTTGAACAACAGCTAGAAGACGGATTCTGTGGAAAAAGGAATCCCTCCTCAAACAATTGGGTATGTCCAAACACCCATTCCAACGAGGAATCTTCAAATCACAATCTTCATTCAAAATTGAAGCCAGCAAATGCAACGGATAGTCTATTTTGATTCAACGGATAGATTATCCAATCCAGCTATAAATAGCATCCTTGGAAGACTGGAGAAAACAGAGACAGAAACACAACCCATGAGATAGAAAACCACAACGAAGCAATCTCTAACAACAAAGCTATCTCATTCACAGTTAGCCCAAAAAGCTTGATAAAGAGAGATTTCTAAACTCCTTATCCAGAAGCAAACTTCTCCTCCTTCCAAAGAGCTATAGTGTAAACACTTGAAGGTTTCCTTGCCTCAAGTACCACACCACGTTGAAGGATA